GGCCGGGCAGCGTCAGGCACGGCTGCACAAGTGGACACTGCGGTCACTGCCTCCTCTCTCTGGGCTGCCACCCGGCTGATGTGCCGACTTAGAGCAGCCTGACCCTCCCATGTCCCCAAAGAAGCCGGTTCTGTGTCCAGTGGCCTCAAAGGCACAGGTGCTCTGCAAACCGGAGCCCCAGGTACCGTAGGGGTGTCCTACCTGGCTCCTTGGAAGCGTCAGCCCTGGACTCTCCAACAGTCCCCACACACGGGGCAGCAGGGCGCCGGGGGGCCTGTTTGTCTGTTCCAGGCACAGCAGGGGCCACACGCAGACAGGGAGAACAAGGACAGCACTGCCCCCACCCCCCTGCTCCCCATCCTCTAACGACTTCGCGCCCAGAGGTCACCCCACAGACAAATACTGAGGGTGAAAAACAGAAGAAATCACCAGAGAAGGGTACGCAGGGCGGGGGGTGTGGAGGGAGTGGGAGGGGTGCATGTTCCCAGGCAGGGCCAGTGCTGACCCGATGCTGCTGTGGGCAGCAGGAGACTGCGTCCCACGTGGGGCCCACCTGCACACGCTCTAGTAGTCCTGACGTGGCTGGCGGGTGAGGTACAGGGAGCCAGCCCTGAGGCCCCAGTCCACACATGCCCCCCCGATACCTAGCGAAGCCCATCAGCCACCAGCGAGGATGGGGTACCTATGCCACCCCGGGCGGCCCGGGGAGGGGGTGGGGCTTGGAGCCCCTTGGAGCTTGGGGCCATGGCCAGTGCCGGCCAAACTTCATCTGGAAAGTGACGGGCAGGTCTGGCCCTGCCTCTGCACGTGCAGCCAGGAGCACGCGCTCCTGGGGATTCCAGAGACAGCTCTGCACCCTGGGCGCAGGGCAGGGCAGAGGCCAAGCCGCAGGTGACGGGGAGGAGGCCCCCCGGGCACAGCCCAGGCGTTTCCTGCATGCAGCTGGGGGCCCTGGGAGTGGGGGCCGCCAAACCTCATGCTTCCTGAGAAAACACACATCGCAGGCAGATGAACCCCCCGCCCCCGTTAAGAGCCACGCCTGGGCACACGGGTCCCACAAAGAGCGTTCCTGGCCGCTGCACCTGTGCTGTGCTGTGCCCTCTGTCTGGCATGCCCTTCCTGGTACAAACGGCTCATGCAGAGCCTGTCACCACTGCCAGTGGTGAAACAGGCAGGACCCTGAAAACTCAGGTGCTCAGAGCCGCAGCAGCCACAGTGGGCAAGAGACACTCTGGGACCAGGGTCCTAGGGCTCCGCCTACCCCAGGGCCCTACCACCCCTGCCTGCAGGAAACTGCCCCTCCATGGCGTGGGTCCCATGACCCAGAGAGAGGGCAGAGGAGCGTCCTAGGGGAGGGTCTGTGCTGCGGGACGAGAGCTGTAGCGTTGCCTGTCTGTTAAAAGTCACCGGTGGGGTGCTCAGTGGTACTGCACGGGCCTTTCCCAACACTGCATAGGGTTGGGGAGACAGTGGGAGTCCCCATGAGCCCCTCCCCTTGCGCCCTGCCTACATGATCTGCTCCCTGCACTTCTGCACCAGCCCGTGCACTGCGCACACTGCTTTTCTCTCATCCCCAAGGAGCTGCTGCCCTTGACCACAGGGCTGCATCTGAGCCGGTGTCGTCGCTGGGAAGTGGGTTACACTGAGGCAGGCCCCGCACACAGCAAGGCCGCCGGAGTGGCCGTGAGCGTCAGGCACCACAGGCAGTCCACACGGGGCTGGGGTTCGCCGACCACTCACCCTGCTCTGGCACCTTTGCCCACACCCCACACAGAGGCTGGCTCCTTCTCCCGGCCTCAGCCCGTCCTGGCACCCCCAGGCCAGACCCCCAGCCCCGGAGCCCTCTCCACCCACTGCTGCCCCGGCTCTGCCTCCCCGTCCAGCTCCAGGCCTTGGTCCCCCAGGGTCTGCCACACTCCCCACTGCTCACCTGTCTCCCCCCACCACTTCACCTGTCTCTCCCTCGCTCACTTGTCCCATCTTCACAGGCTCCTCCCACCCCAGCTGAAGAACACCTCCCCAGATGAGGGGGTGGGGGTCAGGCAGGGTCTTGGCAGTGGACCCCTCCGCACACGGTGACACCTGCCCCCCAGCCCTGAAGCCCCATCTCTCTGCGAGAAACCATGATGCGATGGGGGGCCTCCAGGGGCTGCCTGCAGAGGCCACACCAGGCCATCCAGGACAGCGTGCAAGGGACATGCAGGAGGAGGGAGATGGCCACGCCTGAGGGACCGGCCCAAACCCACGAGTGACAGAGCCTGCTCGTGGAGCCAGCCCTGCACAAGCAAGACAGCACCACCCACCGCTGAAGAGACACAGCAGGAAGTGTGGCCTGGGCCCTGCAGGCCGCTGGTCATCAGAGGGGTGTCCAGCAGGCGGAGGCGGCAGCCCTGCAGGCGGAGGTGGACTCTCCCCCTGCAGTATCTCCCCCTTCATCTGATGCCCCCAAGGTGGTCTTTTGGGGCAGAGCAGTGGGCCCACCTTCCAACAGGCCCTGGCTTGGGACAGACGGACTGAGCGGCTGGCCGGCCCTTCCACACAGCTCAGTGCCACCCGGACAGCTCCCCTGTGGTCACAGCTTCCGCTTTACAGAAGACCAGGGAAGACCGAGGTGGCCACCGGCCCACGAGACAGAGGAGCTGGTTGGACCTAAGAGGCCAACACGCGGCCTCCACCCTGGCCCTCAGCGCTGCAGGACGGGCCGCTGGGGCGCGTGGCACCCGGAAGTCGGCGCCTCAGCTGCACTCAGGTGTCCTGGCAGACAGCCCCCAGATAAGGTCAGACGTTTATCTCTGGAGGGAAAGGACAGGCCTGGGAAATCGCAACCTTTCTGGCGTTTTGTGCTGAAGACCAGCCAGCAAGCCGAGTGGCCAGGCCAGGCGCTCACACACGCGCAGGCCCCACGTCCACCCAACTCCCAGTGACCCTTCAACAGAACACACGAGGAGACAGGCGCCAACAGGACAGCCTGCTCCCCAGCCGTCCTGGGAAGCAGGTGCTCCAACCAGCAAGGGGCCAGAGGGGACACAGCACAAACAGACACCCCCCCACCCCCCTGGGGTGGCCGGTCAACTGGACCAGTGCGGCTCCACGCAAGCGGGGAGGCCCAAGGACAGGCTGCTGGCTTCGTGCACCACTGGGCTGTTTTCTAAGCAGCACATGGCAGCGTGCTGTTGACACACACACACACACACACAGCACATCCCTTTGTAGTCATTACTGTTAATTACAGGGGAACCTCCTGTAATTAACTGTACGGCAGTGTAACTCAATGAAGAGTACGGAGACCAGGCCTACACACAGAGGCCGGCGCACCGCGCTGCATAAATTCATCCCTGTCATCACTTACACCCGATGTTTCCTTATAATAACATTTTATTGGTACAATAATGAGATTATTTCACTGCCTCCCACATTCTGCAGCCCCGGGCCCCTCCCCCACTGAGGATCTCACCAACTACACTTGTTCCTCCCAGGAAACATGCCTACTTTGAACTCAGTGGACCCCGACTCTCTGCCGCCTCTTCCTGCTTGAACCCAGGCCGCGCCACCTCCACTGTAGTGCTGCTGCCCTGCTGTCAGGGGACCCCCGGTGCTGCAGCAGTTGGCGCAGGGAGCTGCTGACCCCGGGGTGGGCAGAGCGGCAGTCCGCCCCCCAGCCCAGGCACCTGCATGCTCTCTGCTGCTACATCGCAGCCACAGCCACTGCCCTCCCCCGAGACCCAGGGCCTGGCCCACTTTCCTCCCGAACGCCACCTCCCCGCTCTGCCTCCATGCCACCCTGGAGGGCTTGGGGAGGGCCTGCAGCACCCGCTAGAGCGGCTGCCTCCTAGGCCCCCACCCTGCTGCACCTGCCTCCCTTCCTCGGTGGTGCCCCTGCCTGTCTTAAATCTAAGGGACCTCCAGGAGAAGCAGGGAGATCAGTGCCAATTGGACCTCTGGGCGTCAGGAGAGGCCCATCCTGGCAGAAGAAAGAAAATGGCTGAGCCTAGCTTCCCACAAAGCTGCTCTGAACACGGCCGGAGGAGGAGGCTGGCTGCCCGGCTGGGACCTACGCTGATCACTGGAAGAGCCAGGAAGCCTGCTCCTCCGTCTCCCGGGCTGAGGGTCTGCTCCTGGGCGGTCTGGGGGGATCCGTGGCCGGATCCGAGCTCCGGCCCAGTCCCATCCTCCCTCTCCTCCCCTGGGGAAGTGCAGTGTCGCAGGCGTTCCCAGCAGAGGCTGGGAGGAGAGAAAGGCGCTGTCCAGCCCTCCGAGCGGCCGGGGCATCTCCTACACCCGGCCGTGCAGAAAGGTCCGGGCCTGGCCTAGGTGGCCCCGTTGGCCCGCAGACATCACCTGGCGGCCTCCCTGCCCCGCCGGCCGCCCGGAGTTGGGGGTCGCGGCCGGGGGCGCGCGGCCCCGGGGCGCAGCTGCTCGGGCGGCACGCCTATTAGCGCGGCCTCAGCAGACGGCAGATGGGCGCCCGCTCGGCCCCCTCCTCCCGCGGCACAATGGGCCCGGTCGCTCGGGCGCACAATGACGCCGGGGCCGCGCACCTGCAGCCAGAGCGGAGGGGCGCTGGCCGGGCCCGTGCGCCCCCGTCCGCGCCGCGTGTCCTTGGGACGCGCCCGGCCGACCGCAGACGCACGGCCTGCGGGGCTCCGCGGCGGGACCCGGCGCCCGGCCGCCCATTGTTCGCGGCCGCCGGCCGGAGCCGGGCTGGGCCTGCAGCACCGCGCGGGGAGCGGCCTCCTTCCCGGGCCCCTGCTCGGAGCGCCGTCAGCAGGGCCTCCCCGGACGCTGCGGGCCTGTGCGCCCCTGCGCCCTGGTCCTCCCCGGCGCCCCTAGTCCTTCCCGGTCCCCCGGCGTCCCTGTCCTCTCAGGCGACCCGGCCCCCCACAGCCCCCAGGCGCCGCCGGTCCCCCTCGGTGTCCCCGGACCGCCCAACCTGGCCCATTCAGCCCCCTGATCCAAACCCCGTGTCCGCCGGTCCCCGGCCCGGCCCGGCCCGCACGCACCTGTCTGCCCCTTGCCCAGCGTCTTCTCCAGCCGGTAGGGCCCCACATACTGCGCGTGCTGCGCTCCGCCGCCGTCCTTCCCCGTCGATGTCATCGCTCCCGGGCCCGGCACCGGCGAGGTGGGCGCCCCGGGCGGGCGGGCGGCGGCGGCAGGGAGGGGCCGCGTCGGTCCGCGTCCGTCAGTCCGTCCGTCAGTCAGTCCGCTGGGCCGGGTCGGCGGCGCCCGGCGGGCCG